ATTGAAAATAAAATGCATAATTTATCTTTTGATAACAATAGAAGCGGCGCACAAGAAATTTTAGAAATTGTTCACACTGATTTAAATAGGCCTCATGCAACAGCCGGCTTTAATGCGGAAATTTATTTTCTTTCGTTTATTGAAGATTACTACAATAGTTCGAGTCGAGTTGTCTAAATAGGTCGAGTTTATGCCATTAAATCAAAGGATCAAGTTTATGACTGTTTTATAGAATACATAGATGAAGTCGAAAATTTGACCGGTAAAACTATTCAAAAATTGAGATGATTTGATTTAAGAAAAAGGAATTTTTTTGAATGCCTGTCCACCTTAGGTACATGAATTGAACGGTACGCCTGAAAGATATAACAGATCAATTATGGACATATCGTGATGTTTGTTAGCTGAAGCAAAAGTAGATAGAAGATTTTGGCCAGAAGAGGTTTGTGTGGCTGCATACCTTAAAAATAGAACACTAGACACTATTGTTAAAAAGAAAACACCTTATGATTTTTTCTCAAAAAGAAATCCGACGCAAAACATTTACGTTTATATGGGAGTAGAGTTTTTGTGCGAGTACCAGAACAATTGACAAAATCTAAGTGGGATCGTAAAGAAGATTAGGGTTTTTTAGGCTATAATGAAGTCGGTTATAGGATATTAGTACACAACAGAATAATTGTTGCTAGACACGTCGATATTATAAAAGAAAATGTTAAATGTATTGGTTTTGAAGACAATGATTCGAAATTAGAATATTCAGATGATTCTAATTGTGAAAGTGGTGAATCAGATTTAAATGAAAACAGCAAAACAGAGAGACTTCGAGTATAAATAATCAAGATCAGGTACAAGAACTAAGGAGATCAAAAAGAGAGCGCAGACTACCTAATTGATTAAAAGACAGCATACTTATAACAATGTGATTTTTGTTAACTATTGTAACGCATATAGTCCTGCAAAGTTTGAGGATGCGATGAATAGTAACGAATCTGAGTTTTGAAAGCAGGCAATGAACCGAGAAATTGAATGTTTAGAAAATAACAAAACGGACATTAGTTCAAAATCCAGATGATAAAAGTATTTTAGATGTGAAGTGGGTTTATACAAAAAGGGTGATAATAGTTATAAAGCTAGACTAGTTGCGAGAGGTTTTCAACAAAAGGAAATTGTAGATGATATTTATTCACCAGTTGCGAAAATGCAAACATTAAAAATATTGCTCTCAAATTGTTGTCATCATTTGTTGTCAAAAGGGGTTAATTATTGAACAATTCGATGTAGAAACAGCGTTACTTAATGGTAAAGTTTCATCAGAAATGTATGAAAAACAAGCGGAAGGTTACGAAGACGTCACGGATAAAGTTTGTAAATTAGATGAAGCGTTGTACGGTTGAGAGAAAGTCCACCTGCGCGGTATGATTGTTTTGATAATTTTTTGGATGAGTTAGGCTTTCAAAAAAGGAATTATGATTACTGTTTGTATGATAAGAGAGATGGAGATGATATGATTTATTTGATTATGTTTGTGGACGATTTGTTAATTTGTTGCAAAAACAGAACTAAACGTAAGACAATCAATAGTCGTTTCTCAGAACAGTTTAGAATGAAAAATTTAGGTGAAGTCAAGCATTATCTTGGAATTAATATTAATTATGATTATGAAAAGAATGTAATGAATCTCAGCCAAGAAGCGTTCATTGATTCTTTAGCTCAAAAATATGACTTTTAAGATTCGAAACTATTATACACTGATGGAAGTAAATTTGAAATTAGAACCTGCACAAGACTATATCACAATATTAGATACAGGAACTTGATAGGTGCTCTTTTGTATATTAGTTCAGGAACGCGACTAGACATAAGCTACAGTGTAAATTACTTGAGCAGATTTCAAAATTGTTATAGCGACACTCATTTTCAGTTTGCTTTGCGAATCTTGAAGTAATTGTAGTTGAAAAAAAATCTAAAACTAACATATAGTAAAAATGAAACGATTGATACTCTAGATTGTTTTGTAGATGCAGACTGGGCAGGCGATAACATAGATAGTAAATCTACTACTGGATATGTAATTAGATTATTCGGAAATGTCATATTTTGGAAATCAAAGAAACAAGGTAGCGTTGCAAAATCTTCCACTTCAGCAGAGTATGTAGCATTGTCGGAAGATGTAACTGAGATTAAGTTAGTGAGAGATATCTTGGATATTTTTGATGTAAAACTTCAGACGCTTTGAGCACTGCAAAATTTGGAAACTTTTCATAAACTTCAAAGTATATTAAGGTACATTATCACTTAGTAAATGAATGTTGTATGGAAGGAATTTTAAATCTACTCAAAGTAGATTCGAATTATAATGTAGCTGACATTTATCCTTAATCGTTAAGTAAAGTTCGTGAAAATTCGAGAAATGATACATATAATCGGATAAATGTAGTTATAGAATATGATATTATTATGAATATTGCAATATACATGTAAGGAGGCGAGTTGGAATATTTACGTACATTTATATTTGAGAAATTGTATTTACTGACATATATGGGATGACTATGTAACTAGTGACTGTATGTACATAAGTGTACGCACGATGCGCATTCGTTTATTCTTGTCCTGGAGATTGAGCTGTATGGATGTAGTCTGCACACACATCAATAAACAGAGTTTGTAAGTCCACGTGTTCTTATTTTATTTAACTACATTACTATAGACGGCAATGTTGGAAAATCAATCGAAATCGCACAGACTAACGCCGTCCTACAAGGAGACTGCCTGAGCCCACTACACTTCAATATTGCTCTCATAGATATTGGTAGCATTATTGAGGATGTAATGGAGTCTCCCTCTACCTATATGCAGATGATATGATATTAACATAAAATAATATCAATAACCTGCAAGAAGCCATGAATTCCCTGTCTTAAGTGGACAACGGAGAACGACCTGAGAGTGAACAGAGAGAAAACTGTTTTAATGGTGTTTCTAAAAGGAGGCAAAATAGTCGGAAATGAAACCATAGCAATAGGATGTGAGGTACTAAAAACAGTCGCCATGTACAAATATCTAGGCCGAACACTACAGACAACCGTATTGACCTTCAGTTGCCACGTTAAAGAGAGAGATCAGCTGCAGCCGTGATCGCAATAAACCAACTCAAAAACATTAAGAACCTATCCTTCAAAAGCGCATTGCAATTATTCCACGCGAAAATTTTCCTGATAATAACGTATGGAATTGAAGAAATATGGCCACATCTGAAAAAAATCATCTGACAAAAGCAGCATGTATCTCAAAATGCACTCAATCTAGATGAATATTGCCCTGACCAAAGAAACCTTCGTAATAGAAGACATAAGGTTACATTTCTCTCCACCAGACACTGAAGACGCGCTGCGATGTCGGAGAGAATACAAAAGAAAAACCTAATAGACGAAGAATTCTATTCCTCTGATACTCAGAAGTGGACGGAGCCCAATCAAGAAATATGTCGTCTATGCTAGACTGGCGGTTCCCGGCTACCACAAACAACTGTGCAAGGGAGAAGGAAACCAACTGTGCAAACGTTCCATGGAGCCGACAGTAATTGCGTGTGCAAACTGTGTGAAGAAACATGTCCAAGATACCATATAACATCCTGCCGAAAATTAGCCAAAACTGACAGAATTTAGTGATAAGCGTGTGAAATGATGCCAAATAAGTGCTACGTAACGTACATTTAACCAAGCTATGGCGCTATTGTGTGCCCTTTTGCCATCATATTATATGTGGAATAGCAATTCCATGGGAATCGAAATAAAAGAATCGATCCCGGAATCTAATCGGAACGGCCCAATCTGCGTAAAATGTTTCCAAGAATGACGCTTAAAGATTTCACAGGAACCGCGGATACTCGCAACGGCGGGCATTACAATTTCAAAGCGAATAAATCCAATCGGCTATTCAGGAACTTGTTGCATGTTGTGAATATTATTTTAAGCAAGTACCATAAAATTAAAAACCATAGATGGATTAAATCAGTGAAAATGCTTTAAAACCGACGAAAAGGTAAAAAAAGACGAAATCGACAATAAAAAAAAGTCATATACCAATTTGTCATTTGCTTTCGTCGAAACAACGAATTTATGTTAACTAAAAGGAATTGTTAGAGTTGTGTGACCCGGAAACTGTACTACTTAAAAAAGGCATCGAATCTCGCGGATCATCAGTGCTCTATTGTTATAATTTACTTTGTGAAACGAGGTTACCCTTGATTTATTTTCACAATTTAGACACGCGAAATGACAATCAATTTACTACAGGCTTACTGTCACAGTTTTATTTAAGAACAATTCATAAACCACTTATATCTACGCCGTTTGGATCGTTTGATGCGTCAATTGTTCCTGCAAACATCTACAATCGTATCCTCACATATCTATACAAATTACGTTAGTCTTCGTCTGTATACATATCAGCTAAATTACTAAAATAATAGAGGATACATGGATTCCTCACAATTATGCAAAGACCGTTTGTCTAATTTATTAACTTTAATTGTCGTAAACGCGTTTCACCGATATTTTAATAACAAATCAAAATTTTTAAAAAGCGGAGATATGTTTTTTAAATCGAATTTCTTAAATATTTTTATGTTTCTTCTGCGATACGAAAGGTCAAACTGATATAAAAGTGATTGGTTGCATGTATCTACGTATCTACTCTCTTTTCAATCTTGTCCACATCTTAAATACATTTGTTATAATCGTTTGTCATTGATACTATAGTTCTTGAAATGCAATGCATACCATCTCTCACTTTCTTTCGTGTCTCTCATTCTTTTGCGAGCCAACGTCCATCCCAACGCTCATCTGCAATTCTGCATGATCAGCATCGTTCCATTTGGTTTGTTGTATGGTACGGTTCCATGCGTTTCCATGAAATTTTCTCTTTCCACACTGTAAACAAGTATCCAAAGGACAGTGACACCTATTACGAAAGATTCAGCGACCACTGAACAACCCGGAATCAAAGTAGTATCAACGTGGTTTTGGGAGTGAGGCTGCGTGCTAATTTTTTTTAAATTGTGGTAGACTTGTTCGTCGATGTTATGGCTATAATCCAACACATTGGTGAAAGTGTTCGTCGCGATTCTTCTGCAGCTGTTACAAAAACGATTCCTTAATTTGACGTAGTGTCGTTGGATCATTATTTGTACGTATATACACACACCAGTGTACACACCGAAAACATGGCGGCGGACGCTTCGTGTTTTTGGATCATGTCACAATACAGGAGACATAAATTATTTTCATGGAACTAGGTACTGTGGAAGTTTCGTTATGCTTTGCTAATCTGTGCAATGTTGTTCTTGGGAAGATTCACTTGGCATATATCGATGATGAGTTTTATGAATTGTCGTGGGATGACTGGAGACCTATAGTTCCAGAATAGTGAAGTGGGAAATCAGTGTGTGCGAGCTGAAGTTGACGTTCATACGGACGGTATGTGTTTTCAAGTAGTTAAAATGTAGGCAGTTGTTGAAGGGTTTCAAACATTATGTTATCACAGGTGCTGTCTTATGTCGTAATATTGATACCAAATTCATTTGGAATTCTGTATCTTTTAAGTTATTAATACCATTTCTGTTTTATTATTTCCAAAATTTAAGTACATGCTGTCGTGTGTAAGTTCTGGTATCTAATTATGAAAATAATGAACCCGTGACTATTTGTTGTTTTATGAAGGGATATTTAATTTTTATTCAAACAAATCCATGTAACAATTTGCATGACAAAAAGCATTAATTGGTAGAGAAGTTTGCTAGTTTTTTAAAGAACATTTGTAGTCCCTTTTTGGCATTGTTGATTGCTAATGTGATCAGTTCTTGTAAAGTAACATTGATAGATTGAGAAGTTGAAGAGTATGTCACCCGCACTCCATATTTCTTTATTATTAAGTTACTTGAGGAATAATTGTAAGTTCGAAATGGATTTGTAAACTGGTGAAGTAAATAAATTCTGTGGTCTCGGGTTAAAAGTCCTTAAGTCAATAAGCCCTGTTTGGCAAAATTGGGTTTAAGTACTGAAACTACAAGTGAAGTATATATATATTTTATTTTAGAAAAACTACCAAATTCATTGTCACCTTATGACAAAGAAGCATCAGGAAATATGGCTAATTTGGCTTAATATAGCTTACTGCTCAATAATCTAACCCTTGGTTTCTCCAAATTACAATTTTTTACTGAAGAACCCTGTGCCTACAAAATTGTTAATTGTTAATGTTTTTACAGGTGCAGTAAATGTTGTCATCATGTCTCGGGGCTATTCAAAATTGTATAGCCGCAAGTTAAATAATGGTTCTCAAGCTAGTATCCAATTTGATAAGCTTTTTCACGAGAACAGCAATAGACCATCAGCTGCCAAGTCTGCTGGAACAATAGGAAGATGGGGTGTAATATCTTGCACTTCATTGCGAAGCACCAATTTAAATGGTAGGTACTGTTTTCTAAAGCATTGAAATAATTTATTATTTGTAGAAATCATTTATAAGAATATTAGTTACATATGTACATTTATTTCAAGTATTAACTATATCAATAATGTTCAAGAAACTACATAAATAATGTAAATTTTGTAGTGTTGAATAGTTAAAAAAAATAAAAAAGAACCAATAATTTTTTTTTTTAAATAAGGGATTCTTCTTAGTTTCATAGTATGGTGAATAATTGAAATTTTATATGCATTTTTATAATAATAATAATATTAATAATGATGATGACCACACTTGTACACACTTTTTCTGTTGCATGCAGAATAAACTTAATGTAATAGAGGAAGGAAACTTTAGCTACACGTAGTTGTAGGTGCAGCAAATCATTGATATATAATAATAATAATAATAATTATTATTATTATTATTATTAAATTTGAATTCATTTACCAGACTATTTAGTTGATTAAGTATAACTTTTTTTATCACTTTTGGAAAAAATTAATTTACTAATTAATATTTCCCTTTGTAAAAGCAATTCTCTTAACTTCTGGTTTGCTTTCTTTTCTAGGTCGTAGGGATGAAGTGATCAGCAACAAGCGAATGCGCATAGACTTCAGTAATCGAAGCAGTTCCAAAGATCCCTTTACATTTGATACAGATCCAGATGGCAGAGTGGGATCTGATAAACAGCCCCCTGTATCTAAGCCCAAGAAATTCTTCAAAAGTCGAAACATTGACTCCCCTGATGAAATTCATCCTATACATTCTGTTGCATCATACATGGGAAGCAATCGCAGTGGTGAATTGAATTGTGGGTCTCATGGATCAAGAAAATATAATAAAAGTAATCAAGGGTCCAAAAAGTTTTTCACTTCAGCTGCTAGTAAAACAAGTGAAGATTCTTCATCTTCATTATCTGTGTCAAGTGCTCCCAAGCCTTCAACTGTTCCTGCTAGGGAGGAAAATAAACCCCCAATAGTCTTGAGGATAGTCAAAGGTACCTCTCATTTAGTGAATGAACTTCCGGTGTCCACAAGTGTTCAGTCTAGCAGCAAACCTGCCAGTGACAGTGGTGTGATTGTGCGTAGTTCAAGAAGAAAGGCCTCGGTTGATCCAAATTGTGAATATCAAGTGTCTGTTGTACATTCTGTTAGTAAAGACACATCCTCCAGTATTACACCTCCACCAAAGAAATCAAGTAAAGAGAAGAGGAAGGACTCTCATAGACACCGTGAGGAACGTGTTCGAAGTATAGAAAGAGAAAATGAAGCTCCTGTTCCTTTAGATGATGTGGAGCGAGCTGTTGCTGCCTTAGAGGCCGGCAAGGCTATGGACTGTGAGCCTGAAACTATACCTGAAGGTGGTACCAGCGATGCTTTAACAATAACAGCAGAAGAAGTTGCACCATCGACTGTTAGTAATTTGTCTCCTGTTTGTTATTCTTCCAATCAAGATGTAAATTTAGCAGTAACTTGTAGTGTAGATACTCCTCTCGTAACAGATCCTCTACCTTTGAATATGTTGGAAAATGAACCTCCAGATGTGCCTGACAATGAGAAAGATGACCAGGAGAAATTACTGAAGGCTCAGGAGCTTCTTGCTGAAACATACATGGATTTCACAGGCACTGCTGAGAAGCTTCTTCAGTTACCTCAGACTGCTGCAACACCTTCATCTGATCTTGCACCTCAAGGGAAAGGTTTCCCAGAGCACGATTGGTTCTCAGATAGTGAAGGTAGTAACAGCATTTTGGATCAAATTAACACATTAGCTGAGTCGCAATCTGAGATGGATCAAGGACCAGTGATAGAAAACACTCAGTTTCCAGTTGTTCCACAAACATCATCTGTGGAATTGCACCCTAGTCAGGACTTGCAGGATACTCAGGAATTGGAAGACAAAGCAGACCTTGAACAAGAACCTGAACCAGAAATGGAAGTGGGTCGTGAGCTCCGTTCAGGTCGTACAGCTTCTCCTGCGACAAAAAAAGGGAGTATTTTCAAAACACGTTCTTTGCTGTCAGATGGTCGTAGAACACGTCGTGCCGTTTATAAACACAAGTGGGCAGATACTGATAAAGAAGCAGCAGCTGGCAGTTCTCAGCCTTCAGAATCTGCTGCTGCAACTTCTGCTTCTCAGCCTGTGGCAGCCAGTGCTTATGATATGGATGAGGAATTTGAATTGGGTAAACTTACTAGAGTGTGTACATGGCCACAAAGCAATGACGAAGTTGGAGTCGAAGATGAAATAATAACAAGAGTTAGATGCAACAAAAAGGATAAAGAGGTGAGAAATTATGTCAGATATTGGTTAAGAAATTGACAATATGCATTTTTGTGCTTTGTTTTGAAGTATCTCCTCCCATAAGGGGTTCTGTTGATGACCTAAAATTGTGCTTTATATTTTTGCAGTATTATACAGTAGTTCGCAATGTGAAAAAAGCTCATCAGATTCAGGAATCTGGAGAATTCCAAGAATTCAATGATGATGTAGAATATATTTTAGATGCCTTGCAAGACAACAATCCCATTGGAACCAGGTAAATTCATTTAATTTTAAATTTAAAAAGAAATCCTTTTTATATATGACCCTCGGCTTTTAGAAGCATCGTTAAATTTTGGAGGCCATAATGGTACTTGGGTTTAATTTACAATTACATTAATTGAACTGTTATTATCAGTTTTACTCATTTAGTAGAAAATGTAGATGTTTCTTGATATATTTCTTTATTTTATTGTCAGTACTACTCGGTAGCAAGGATGCCTTTGCTTCAAAACTTTCGAAATAGTGCGTTGTTTTTCGGGGTGGCTCTTGCTAAAAGTAAAGCCGGTGCTGCTGAGCACATTCAGCTGATCCTGTTACACAGTTATGTGGTTGGTCAAGCCATCTCGGCTCTATCGTTCAACTTATTTCTAATTACAGGCTAGTAAAGAATTTTCTGTAAAATATCAGGGAGATAATTGAAATAAAAGTAATATCAATCACATTTTTTTATTCCAAATTTAGGGCATCCTTTTATATAACTTGCAAATACAGTACTTATTACAAAATTTTTTGCATTTTTGGAAACATTCTAAGCATAATGCAAAGTTACGTTTTGTACACAAGGTATTTACTTGCAATTTATCTCTGTACAAGATCTCTTAAATTGGGATGATAAACTATTGTAATGAATAGAACAGTTTTGACGTATTGGAATCTTTTTGATTTTGTGCTTGGGTGAAACTGCTTATAATCTCAATGCTTCTACTTGTGTTTTTGGGGTGAAAATTGTAATTATTTCTTCTTGGATGTAGAATGAGCGATTACTTCCGCCGTTGTCAGCAGGATGTTGAAAGCAATCTTCTAGTACCATTTCTGAGATCGTCTTAAGAGGTGTGTGATTAGATCCCATTTGGTCTATTGATGATTTTGTTTTGTTGTAAGTGATGTGTTGCTTCGTGACTTCTTCCAACTTATGATGTTAGTAATAAAAAGAATGTGGTGTAGGTCTCTCCACTTTAGCACAATTAGATTTCTGTCATTTTCCTGGGTGTATTCTTCTCCTTTTTTCAGTTTCTTTTCCACCACATTTTTCGGGTTCCCTCTTGTACCATCCATGTCAGCTCAGGGTTTTACCAATTCCTCCACCAAGCTAAACGTTACTACCACTTGATTACATCATCATTGTCATTGGGAAATTGATATGTCTCTTCTTCATCCATTACGCTCAATTGTTATTACAGTTCCCTTCTCAACCACTATTACACATTGGTATTAAAAAAAATTGATTTCCCTTCCTTCTCGGTATTGTAGGTATGTTTTATTTTGTAACAATGATTGCTCAAAAGCACAAATCCAGCAACAACGGAAAATTAAATGTAATATGTAAAAAAATGACGGAAAAGCACTTCAAACAACTACGTCGCTAGAGTATGTAAGTCTCAAGTGATTGATTCATTGTGAAAGAGACCTAGTTCATTTAATGTGTTCCGGCTTGCATAGTTAATTGGCAACAAATGCTATGGCCTTTTTTCGTTAACCTGAGAAACATGAACTACATAAATTACCAAAATAAGAATTTTTTCCCTTCTCACATGTCAATCCAACTACATAGTAAATGACACTAAGATTCGTGCGTACTTCGAATTGTGCACCTACAAAAGCGACTAATGACCTTGACAAGTAGCCTCAACTACCTAGTAAAATCTAATCACAAATATTACAAATTTTCTTATTTCATTACATAAAACCTAATAACTTTTATATTAACCTTTTATATACGAATTATTAATGTTTTTATTGAATTTGGTAATTGTTTGGTAATTACCTTCTTGTGTTTTTATAGCTTGGATTACAAAAAAAAAAAAAAATTGAAAAATTACTAATATAATTAAATGTTAGAAGAAGATATAGGTTGTAGTGCGTATTACAATTTCAGAAGACTGTTGAACGTAATGGAAAGTGAGGGACTAATCAGTCTCTGAAGGTCTGAGAAATCAAAAGCCGATGAAGGGCTCAAATGACTCTCAAATGTTAAGAAACCAATTCTGTTGAGTGCCAATTTTGAACCTAATGGCCTTCAACCCGTTAAGATTGTTATTTAGATTATACTTTAGTTCCTCAATCTAAATATTAATATTGTTAACGTATTTGTATATTCTTTATAGGGATTTGAATTAGAACTTTTAAAAATCACTGATAAAAGTATCAATTAATAGTGAAATTTATTATTGATAATATGCCTTTTCTATAACAATTTGACTTTGTATAACAAGAATTGAATTTCTGAAATCAATCAAAAAATAAATCATAAAGATATCTTCAAACTTAGAAGTTATGATGTTTCACATCATGCCAAACAAGGGAAAAAGTTACTTTTGGGAAAACCCGGATCAAAATTCATTAGCTCAAAAATGATCTGTGAAAACTAAATCTCTAACTGCAAGAAATAATTTGTCCAAACTGATATTCTCTTTTTAGTGCAACAACAGAGAAGGGTTACAAATGGTTTAAATTGCAGTTTTAAAATTTCTCTCAAAATAATCAAATTTTTCCTTCATTTTTTAGTGAACATGACCAAGTGAACTACAAATGGGTTTGCGCGTGCAAATTCGGGAAATTACCAATAAATCAAAAACTAACAAACATTTTCTTATTGCATAATTACATGCCTTTGGCCAGTTAGGCCCTTGGCAGCAGAAGATGAAGAAATCGAATACGAAATAGAGAAAATGAGACCTATAAAAGTGCATCTCGCACATCAAGAACAAAACCCATTTCATGTGGTTAATAAGGGTTTGGAAGGGTTAAAGAATTGTTTTGTTATTTTGCGTTTCAGTTGGTTACAATAGGGATTATTCTTACGAAGTTCAAAATGATGTGCAGATGGAATATTTGGTATGATCTTTGATGTAGAATTTTTCCGAAATTTGTAGAGAAAGGTTGTGAATTGAAAGTATACCTAACTCAAAATGAGTTTGTATGTTTGAAATAAACCAAGGGGCTTCAATAATAGTTCTTAGATAGGTATTCTGAAAAATGTGTATTTTATTACTGTTTGTTTTAGATGCTGATCCCCAAATTGAACACGCATAAGATATTATAGGCAGAATTATTATTTTATAATTATGAAATTTAGTGAGTATACTTACTGAAGAAGAGTATTTAACGAGAGGAAGTAACTGATGCCATTGTTTATTAGCTAACAAAATTCTATGGACGATATTATTTCCCCAATGGAGTCTTCTGTCCATTGATACTCTGAAGTATTTTATTTTTTCGGTGGATGAAAGTCATTTTATTGATTCATTTTGATATGTGAGAGAAGGTGGTTCATTATATCTACGTAAGGGGGAAATATTCTATTGCATTTTGATATATTCAATTTGATATGCCACTTTTTAGTCCATAAATCTGCCTAATTTAAATTATTTTGCAGTAAAGTAATTGTAAATTTAGGATTTCTATCTGTACTGTATAATATTGACTTCAAATAATGCTAATGCAGTGTCATTTGTTTACTTGACTGCGTACGTGTTTATATAGTTTATTTCCTGTCAGCTGATTGGTCAGATCAGCCAATGCGTAGAGGGTGCACGGCCAATCGGGGAGCGGGCCCCCCGGGCGGCTGGAAGAAGGCGAATCGCGCGTAATCGGACGGCGTGGAGCAGCGGGCACCGTGCCGGGTCTCGACCGGGCGTAAAATAGATGCTTCCAGGCATCGTGGAGACGTAGGCCTTGATCAGCATTGAGATTTTGGGGATGCTTAGGGCCGGTTTGACTAACAGCCGAGTAAAGTTGAGTGTAGTTACCCGAGAGTAACCATTTACTCCAAGATAGTAACTCTCGAGTAGAATATGAGCGTTTCACCATGCTTCTAGGGTTATTTTACTCTAGAGTACATACACTGCGATTTACTCCGCAAATCAGCTGAGCACACACTATTTGAGAGCGGTTCAAGAGGCTGTGGGCGACAATGACGCTGGGAACCAATGCGGACCAACGTGAACCTTTGATTAATTCCTTATGTTCTATCATTCATTTCAGTTTCGGAGTTCTTGGCGTTATAATCTGGTGTGGTGTTATAGTGGTTTGAGTTAGCATAATTTATTTCCTAGTTTCTGTATCTTTATTTCTTAATAAATATTCATTCTTATTCTCTGGAGACGAGTTACTATTTTGTTAGCAATGCAGAAAAATCTAATTTGCAGTTCGTTTACCGATGGCGGTGCAAATGAATTTTCTATAACTAGGGAACGAAAATGTTTAGTTTTTCAAATGTTGATCTCGTGTTTTTCTAAATTTTATTATTATATGTTGTTTTATTTTTTAAACTTTTATTAATCTTTCGACTATTTGTTGTTAAAATGTTGGAAAGGGATTCTGTAGCGCAAATGATATCCCTCATACGTCACATACAGTTTTTACTGAATAAATAAATGAATATTTTTTAGTACTTGTAGTTCCTGTAGTTATTTTTCCTTTTGTTGTCGTATTCGGTACGTACTACCTTTATTTCGTGTCCACATGGGAAAAAAAGAACTTTAGACGTTCTATATAGTTTACAATTTATCTGATGAAGTTAAACAGCTGATTTGGTCAAACATAACCTCATGACAAATCTCGATCGTCATAATTAAAACCAATCCATTATCTCTCGCACCCTTTGTCTTCGCCCTAGTGGATAATATTCCGAATCATTGCTGGAATCGTCTTCAAATACTATCATTCGTAATCGTCGAACCGTAACAGCACTTCGGAGGTACATGCACGTTGAAAACTGAATTTACTCCGTACTTTACCCGACGGATTTTCGCGGTGTGAAGTTACTCTCGTGTAAGCGATTTACATTCGAGTAAAGTGTTGGTGAAACGCTCCAAGAAGTTACTCTCGAGTAAACATGATTTACTCCAGAGTAAACTCTTACTCTTTATTTGGTGAAACCGGCCCTTAATAATTTATATTGCCTCTAACTCTTCTCATTACCTAGCGGTCTTCTCTAATTAGGAGGCGGGTGTCGGCGAATAAAAGGCGTGGAGGACTACGGCCGATTTATCA